CTTTTTTTTTTTTTTTCATGACAGTTATCATTTATCTGAGATATAATTGCATGATTGTCTCCTTGTTTATTATTTTTATATTATAAAGAATTTTTTGGATTTGTTTAGGATGTGTTCAAATATGATGTCATTATGTGTATTGGAGCTGGTATTGGAGTAACTCCCTTTGCATCAATATTGAAGTCCGTGTGGTAAGTACTTTTTTAATGGAGAAAGATTTTATACCCTTTGTCATTCTCTGATTCAGTTGATAAATTTTGTCCAACTCTCAATCCATCTTACTTAAATTACATCCACCCTTGATTTTGTTTAGTCTTAATTTTTTTCATTCAATTGTATAACTACTCTTTTCATTCAAAAACAGTAAGAGCCATGGTCATCTTTTGTTTTACAGAAAGTATGCATTCTTTTACAGTAAAAATAATTAATTAACAGTACTGTTAAAATTAAATTCAGTCTTTTCTTGCTACAGGTATCGTCAAAACAAAAGTTATTCTGACCTAAAGATCCAGAAGGTGTATTTTTTCTGGATCTGCCGAGATGAAAAGGCCTTTGAATGGTTTACAGACCTTTTAAGGTATTTGGAAATTCAGGTAAAAAAAACTGAAATCACGCCTGTCGTATAGATGACTATACATGTTTGTGAAACTTAGATTATTCAAAACATTTGGGGTTAGAAGATCTCCTCTGATCATGAGGTAAATTACAAAATGGATACTCCTTCACCTTAAATTTCAGATGGAAGAAATGAATATGAAAAACTTTGTGGAATATCACATATATCTCACAGGATGGGATACTAAATTGGTAAGACGACTTTAAATAAATGAGCAGGCTTGAAATATGTATTATAATTATTATATACACTAAGGTTTAGTATTTAGTTGATGTGAATAATCTTTGTTATTTCATGCTTTGAAAATTTTGTTAAGGGGGAGGTAGAGTCTAAGGAATATGTTGATCTGTTTTTGCCAGGTACATTTTTGCAACTAGAATAATGGACTTAGTTGAAGGTTAATGTTCATCTTATGCTGCTGAGCTTATTCAGGTCTTGTTCTAGGCAATTACAACTTATGGAGTCTATGGCATCCTCCCTTCTAGTGATTTACACTTTATTTAGTGATATATGCCTTGCATCATTTTCTCCCCCTCTCCATAGGGCCCAAAAAAGATGGAAATGTAATAATTAACATGTAACATTTAACATGTAGCTATCATGTGGGTTTTAGAAAGAAAGTGATAATAAGTTACCTGTTTATTTCAGGCAATTCAGTCAATTATACATCAGGGTGAAGAAGATAACATAACACATTTAGATGCTAAGACACAGTATGGCAGACCAGAGTGGAGCAAGATTTTTAAGGGTATTGGGGAGAAACACAAAGGGTGAGTGACAGGAAAGTTCAGGGCTAGGCTGCAACAGTGAACTGAAATGTGAAGCAAAGGAGATATGAATATCAAGATTTGGTTGCAGACATAGCCATCTAGATGAGCTATTAGAGTTCTACATTACCTAAATTACTCTGTTCTGGTCTCATTGCACTCAGTGACTTCAACCAGCTTGTTAACTAGAAAAAGCGCAGCTCCCCTTTTTTTGTAGTCCAAAGAGCTGAAGTGATGAACTGATAGTAACAATATTTCCTTCTCTGTTGTAGGACAGAAATTGGGGTCTTTTTCTGTGGACCAAGTGGTTTATCACATGTGTTACACAAAAAAGCCAACCAGTACAGTAATCCAAGTACAGGAGTCAAGTTTTGTTACAACAAAGAAAATTTCTAAGAGTAGTTATACAATTGAATGAAAAAAATTAAGACTAATTTCTTGGAAGAGCACAGACGGCTATCTTGTCACAATATAATATGCAGTCGGCTTCTTATTTGACTGAACACTTAAATTGAATATTAACACCTTGATATATTTCTATCTTGCAAAACTATCTGGTAATCAACATTATTAAATCCTTTAACTCCCAGAAGTGATTTGTGTAACTTCTCCCAACAATATCTATACATTATCCAACAAACATGTAATGAGATTACTCAAATTTATTAATTAGAGATTGTTATCACAATATAAAACCAAATTCCTGTAACCAAATTACAAGGAAATGTCTAACAGCTAGATAGGAGAATTAACAACTAGATCTTGGGAGTTGAAGGGTTAATACAAACAACTGTGACTGGTATCTTATTTCTCCTTACAGTGTCACTCCTGAATCAAATATTAAGCTACGTCCGAGAATAAAGGAAATGATGACTAACTAAAGAAACTTTTGATTATTCATCAAATTCTCCTTGTCACCATCTCAGGGAATGTATAGAGCACAGTATAGAGAAAAAGCATTAAGGTTTTAAGGGTTTATGATGAATTTAGATGTATTAAAAAAAAAAGGAAACTCTTCTCATTTCTTTTAAAGGGATAAGGAAATCCTCATACATTTATGGCACCTTAGGCCCCTATGTACTTGGAGAGGAGAGATACCATTGCTACTTTTTTTTTTTTAATTAACCAAAACCAGCAAAAAATACTTTTTGAACAAGGACATATTATTGCCACCTTTTGAGAATCTACAAACCTAGTGAAAAAGACTTTTTGAGCACACTGATTGGCTTTTAACTTAAGTAAAAAAATGAGTTTAGGACTTAAGATAAAGAAAGTATATATTTGTAAAAAAATGAGTTTAGGACTACTTTAGGTACAGAAAATATGTATTTGATGTTTAATTAGAATAAACACAAGCGATGATTAGCAATTTTTCAGGAAAGTAGAAGTACATATCCACCACTTTCACCCAAAGCTGAGGTGAGTAAACCACATGAGAACCAGAAAATTAGTTTCAGTATTTTTGTTAACATACCACAAAATACTCAGAAATGAAACTCTCAGTGGACACTTCCATATTCTTCTGCTTGGAGGTGAATAGTACCTGCTAATCATTTCTGAGGTAGCCAATCAGCTTATGAAAAAAAAAAATCACCATTCACCTGCAAGGTATTCACTAGTATGTACATTAGACTCACTATGAAAATTGTGATTAGTTGAGAGCATTCAAACAATCTACTGACAGTGGCATGTGAAGTTGACTTGATAAATGCATTATCTACAGCAGATATTACCTTTGTTTTATCAAGTTTAAATTATGCCTAGTTTCTAAGCCCTTTGTCTATGTAGTGTTCTCAAATTTTTGCCAAGTCAAGGAGAATTGTCATTTGCAAATTGTTTCAAAAATGTAATCATAAAACAATCATTGAATTTGGATTTTACATGATATCATTCTCAACCTCATCCAATAATTGCTTCTTATTCACCCCATTGGCACAAAAATTGGTGGATATTTACTTCACTACTCACCTCCACAGCAAAGGTATTTGTTTCTCTAATGGAATTTGGAACAAACACCCCTATTTAAATAATCCATATGCCAGTTAGCATAAAAATTAAAATGTTAAATCAAATAGGAAATTACACTGCTGTTAGATGTAGCATGGAAACTTTATCAAACAATAGTGCAAGATTTTTAAATCTGTATAATTAATTTTGAAGAAGTTGTAACAAATATTGCCCAAATCCCAAAACTAAAAATGAGTTTATCAGAAAGTGTATTAAATGAGGCCAACCAATATCTCACTGGTTCATACCGGTAGCTCGTAATTTTCACGACTGGTGTGCTTTTAATGTTGTGTATTGGATGCAGAGTGGACCATTACAACTTTTAAATGACGAACAGATCACTTGAATCACTCTCTCACTTACTATGTAATTCGAACAAAACGTGATTGGTGCAGAAGTAACTTTACACACTAAAATCAAACAAAATCTCTAATCCACAACACCCCAAGGAAATATTTAACTATACAAGAAGCAACATTGTATACAATTTACTGATATCTTTGAAATCTTTGTTGGAAAAAATTGAAAGCGCATTTCTCTGTGGGAAGATTTCATCCTTCCAAGCTTTCCCTTAGTGACCTAATTCACCCCCACTTTACCCTTGACCTGAAGGATCCATGACATTCATGGACAAATACCATGAAGGATGTTCCAAACTGGTAGTTCAGATGGTTATTCAAATCTTTTGCTCTTCCTCAAATCACTTGCAAGAAAAAGAAGATAGAATTAGCACCTGGGGAGCATACTCATGGTTACTCAGGGGAGGGTTCCTGTTCATAACAGGGTCTTTACTTCCTCTTTGCAACTGCAGAATGTACAAAACAGAGCCTTAGTGTTAACTTTAAAAAATGATCTTGACTGGAAACAGACTTGCAATGCTCACCCAGCCAAGCCATCATTCCAAAATTTAAAGACAAGTTCAAGGTCACTTGCACACTCAGATGCTCAAAATAGCAGATGCTAAGACTAAGACCTGTATAATTTGAAAGCCAAGGTTAACCTTAATTGATCTCAATGTATAGGTACCAGTACAATTACAGTGCTGACTCGAACATACTAAGTGGAACTTAAAACAGCACATATGAAGGAGGCCCTCACCAGAGAGAGATTGCTTAATTGACCAGATCTGATAACTTGCATTCAGCAAATTCTTACTTCTCAAAAGTAGAATTTTTTACTGGGAAAACCTGTGTAACAATATTGCGTGACACTGTCACGACCTCGTGGTCCGCTGATGACATCTGTTTTCTTATATTAAATATATCTTGTTGGTCCGACATCTTGGTTTTGTATGTGTTCTCCTCTACATTGCCCGTTCTGGCTTGTTACAACCTGTAGCTCTGTGAAGCCTCAATACAACTACCTAATGCTTAAAGGAACACTACACATGTTCACATCAACAAAACTTTAATAGGCATTGACTTAAATCTTCTTACAGTTTTTGGACCTCTCCAAAGTTAGACTAAGCAAAAATTTTGTTGTAACCTGTTTATAATAATTAACTGAAACGATGCAAAAAAGAACATTTTACACTTAAAAAAGAAAGTGGATAATTTTTGCCTTAAGAAGTTTTTAAAATAATCAAATAGTAAGAGCAAAGTTCAGGGATGTTACTGTCCACCTCTCAGACGCAACACCAAATGAAGAGTTGACTCTTTTTGTATGTTGTAGTCGCTCAGAGTGTGGCCATCTTCAAGTTGCTTGCCAGCGAAAATCAACCTCTGCTGGTCTGGAGGAATAGCCTCTTTATCCTGGATTTTGGTCTTCACATTGTCAATGGAGTCACTGGGTTCAACCTCAAGGGTGATGACGAGCAGGTCGTCTCTTTCCTCCTTAGTCAGTTCACTTGCAATGGGCAGGGTGGTGACATTTGGAGTCACAAACGTATTTCTATAATTTTCCTTTGTCGACTTAATCCCTGTTCTTCTTTAAAAAGATTTTGTATAAATTCCAAAAAACAGGATTTTCATTTATATCTGAGGCCAATAACTTTTTAGTGGTCCACTAAATTTGACCCACATAAAAATAAATGCTTAGATTACATAAAGCTGTAAGCTACATTTTTTACATTTTAGGATAACTCACAAAAGACTCCACAATAGCTTTATCACCGAGAAGACGACGAGCCTCAAACAACATTTGACTTGCCAATTCTCTTGTAGGTGCAATGATTATTGTGCCAAAGGTTTTTCCAGGAGATTGCAGAGTAGGCAATAAGAATACCATAGTTTTACCGGATCCAGTTTCTGATTGAATAAGAACACTCTTTCCCTTTAAAACTATTGGTATTGCTTGTTTTTGAATGTCAGTGGGAGTGACAATGCCAAAAATGTTGAGCTTCTGTATAAGCTTTGGGTGAAGATCGAAGTCTTCAAATGATAGAATTTTAGAAGTATCAATAACATCTGATTCTTCCTTATTTTCCCTTTCCTCTACACCCCTCTCATCTTTTCTTTCAAATATTTTTTCATCATCTAATTCCTCCTCTGTCAAGCTCTTGTATACTGGAGTTAGCCTTGCAAAGTCCTCTGCTGTGGGAATCCTAAATTCTGTCGTCCCATCATCATCGAGCAGGTCGTCTCTTTCCTCCTTAGTCAGTTCACTTGCAATGGGCAGGGTGGTGACATTTGGAGTCACAAACGTATTTCTATAATTTTCCTTTGTCGACTTGATCCCTGTTCTTCTTTCTTTAAAAACATTTTGTATATATCCCTCTGTAGTACTCCACAGCTGCATGAATTCTTCATCTGAATCATGTTTCTTTTCCTTCCTGACACCTTTCCGTTTGATTCCTGTCACTCCAGTCAGTTCAATCGTGTTTCGTGGCTTTGAGGCCAAACAACGAACATAATTGACATGACATGGAGAAAAGGTACGCCGTAAAGAGGCTGGCGGAAGATTTTTTTCCAATAAAAAACAGTTTCATCGAGAAATTTTGAGCGATTTGTCTGATCTTTCGCCGAGAACCTTCAGTATTAGATTTACAGAGCGTCTCATCACCATGCGACGGTAGATCTCTACCAGGCGTCTCAAAAAGCTACCTACATTTAATGGAGGTGAACTGGCTCGAGCTCAAAATAACCTTTGGAGGGTAGAGTGAAGAGTTTAACTAATGTGCGGGCCTGCGAGCCGGAGCCGTTTTTTGCGAGCCTCGAGCCTCTTCTTGCGAGCCACTGCTTTTTTTCCATATCTTTCCATTTTCTCTCCTTCCTTCATTATGACAGTCTTTTCTCCTCTCCAAAAAGCATTTGAAGACGAAAATCTGAAAAAATATTAAATAAATAAACTATGGCATGGAAAGTGCTATGTACCCTATTCACGCACTACTGCGCTCATTTACAACCTGGAAGGATTTATTGCTGCCGAAGCATTAGCATAGGCAGCAGCAATTTTTTTCGGCATCTGAGAATTGTTGGTACATTGGATCGATGAAGAAACGGCCTATTAGAAATATCCATATTACGACCCAGTCATCGGACTGCTCCTGGGAAAACCAGGAATTCAACCATTTAGCGACCTCCTTCTATCAATGTCCAATCAGCATTTGTCTCAAAATCGATGAAACTCACATTCGGCCCGCTGTGTTGTTTCGGGGAAAGAGATCTTAACAGGTAAGTTTGGCAGTCTTTTTTATGTCTTTGATCGTTTTTACCGATCTGTTGTGATTACCTGTAGCCAAAGAAGCAATTTATGAAGGTCATGAGACCTTCAGCGAGTATTCAGCGAGCCCATAGTGCGCATTTATGTCAATTTCATCTTTGCTTTTCAGTCGATTGTATTCGGTCCAAACAAATGCAAACAAATATCGATGACATCCTCACGGGGATCACACGCGTTTATAAGTTCTAACCTATTACCAAGTCTAACAACGAGTTTCCGAAGGTAGCGCCTTTGCATTTTTGGTGATGCAATTTTGGGTAGTCCAAACTAAACTGTTAGGCGTTTGACAAAACCGTTAGTTGCTGTTGTACATGTTGCGGAGAAAAACTAAAGTTCAGTGACTGTTTTCCATTGTCATTTCAACGGTCATAAATGTAAATAACGGTAGCACTTCGCTTCCCAATGAAAACTCGCAGTAACATGGTCAGAAGATCGCTCATTGACTTAAGAATGTTTTCTTGCGGGAACAAAACAAGCAATCCCAAGCGGGTAAGATAGTCCCATACTGCTGGCCAGGTAGTCAATCAGAAAACACGATTTCAGGTTTTGCTACCTCTTACCGCTCGAGGAGCGAGCAGTACGTTATAACAAAAACCGTGAACTGTCCATCCTTTACAGCGACACTAAAGAGCTGGATTAGCACAGGAAGAAAAGCCATCTCTGCCAGAGAATCAGCCTAACTTGAACTTTATTAACTTACGTGTAACATGTAGCTGCATACAGTTAACCTAACCTGAACGTTCTATTATATGAAACTTCAAATACAACTGAAACTGTGAACTCAATTGTTTAAACTGTGTTGTCAAACCGAGACGTGAAGGAATAATTGAACACACCTCTCGCGGTGCACAACTTCCTGAATTCGCTGCCATTCACCCTAGGTCTGTAATAACTAAACAAAACGCACAATAGAGTCAAAATGATTGCTCGCAAACTAATCAGGCAAGATGACTTTACATCTCATTTTAAATCTCCAATTTGGGCGAGTGAATATTGTGAAACAGGCGCTTCGCAAGTCAGGTCTTTTATGCTTTGTAGCACATGTGAGCCGGTCCTTAGTCGAGACTTTTGTCAAAAACGTCTAAGCAGCTAGCGGAAACTAATAAATACGTATTTTAACGAAAATGATCCCCTTTTTATCGTGCAATAGCTGTGTAATACATTCATGTCACATATCTTCATCGCCGACAGGTTCATTGACAACTTTTATGGACGATTTCCTTTTTAAACTTAAACGATACGAGTTAAAACATGTCACTCAACAACAACAAATGTTTCGTTCTACTTTCAGAGTTCATTGTGAGGTTGCATTCACTCAATTGTTAGCCATATAGAGAATGCTCTTTCAATGTCCTCCTGAGCTAACCGCTCCGGACGCCACACTTGTGGGTGATTACTCCGCGAGTCATTCCTAATAACTCTGTCAGCGTTACTCTGCGCATCATTTGTGCTACTCTTAGTGACTAAGCGTTTCTTACCTAAGGCGGGCTTTGGCTAAGTACACGGAGGTGGTGTGCGTTGAAAAATGGAGCGGAATTCCTGCTCAGTGAGTGCTGCTTGTTGAAGGGTATCGTCCTTTTCATTGACTCCAAGGACGACTACGTACACCCAAATCAAGTGCTTGCAGATCTTCACCATTCGGCTCTTCATGAAATCTTCGCAAGTGCAACTCGGAGTTGTGCCAATTGATACAGTGTTGGGTCCCATAGCCAAGTCAATCACGTGTAATTGATACCTCGTATTTGCGAAGCAATTTACCTTCTTCTGAAACAGGCAATAACTTGATCCTGTATCGGTCGGTCTGAGTTGCTCGTTTCAATGTAATGTTGAACTGACGGCTTCGCACACGGCGCCTGGCCCCTCTTTTTCCAGCGGAAAGGTCCTCAACATCGCCTTGAAGTACTTCTTGTTGTTGTTGCTCTTCGTCAGATGTACTCGCTAGGCTGTCTTCACATTCACTCAAGTTCCACGTCTTATTCAAGTTCTTCGTCGTCGTCGTCTTCTTCTTCTTCTTCTTCTTAGGCTTTGTTGCTCGGTGCGATAGAGGATCAACCTGGTAGGTGCTTAAAGCGTCCGCCCGGGAGGACAAGTCAGAGGGTTCGTCCCCAAGATACAATCCCTCACGTATATTTCTGCGCGATTCTTCTGAGCGTGAGAGCTCCGTAATGCAACAGTAAACACACTAGGATCTGTTCCTCCATGAACACTACCCACCTTTCCAGCCAAGGAACAAGAAAGCCGTATTGATCTTTGGCGGGTTTCTTAGCAACAAATTCCTTTAGCTCTTGAATAGCATCATTATTAGAACTCGAGGTTTGCGCTTGGAGAAGTGTTTTTCCAACTCAAGAAGAGACGGAACGAATTCATGGAATTGAATTCTTGCCCATTTCAGAACCACAATTGGTTGAGATCCAGCGTGAAACCGCAGCAGACTCAGTATTACAGTGCCTTACTTAAGTAATATTGCAAGGCTGGCCAGATCAGAAAGAAGTCCTACCCTCAGAATTACATCCCCACTTCATTGTAAGAGGTGAGCTTACTGCACAGGATGGAATCCTCTTCAAAGGTTTAAGATGTGTAATACCTCTTACCTTGAGGCCCAAAATACGCGAACGACTTCATGGTGTCCACACAGGAGTTGAAGGCTGCCTGCGACGTGCGCGTGAAACAGTCTACTGGCCTGGCATGAATGCTGACCTTCGCGACTAGCCAAGTTTGATGTGTGTGCTACGTACCAGAAAGATCAGCAGAAGGAACCACTTATCTCGCACAAAATCCCAAACCGTCAGTGGGAAACAGGTGGATGCGATATCTTCCATTTTGAAGACAGAGACTACCTCTGCGCAGTAGATTATTATTCCAGCTACTTTGAAATCGACCAACTTAAAGACAAGACTGGCAATGAAGTGATCGAAACCCTGAAGCGACACTTCTCAACACATGGAATTCCCAACAGGCTGCAGACTGACAATGGTCCGCCCTATAGTTTTCGTGAGTTCCAACAGTTTATGACAAGCTATGACATTGAACATGTTACTAGCTCTCCACATTACCCACAAAGCAATGGCAAGGCAAAAAATGCTATCAAGACAGCTAAGAATCTGCTAAAGAAATCCAAGGCAGCTGGAACAGACCTCTACCTAGCTCTATTGGCTTGGAGAAATACACCCTCTGAAGGCCTAGAAAGTTCTCCATCACAAAGAATGTTTGGTCGCCGTACTAGGACACTGATTCCTACGACTAATGAACTCCTCAAACCCAAAATAGTTGAGAATGTCCGAGGAAAGCTCTTGAAGAGAAAACAACTGCAAGCCAAGCACTACAACATCAGTGCCAAGGAACTTCCGCCCCTGAGAAAAGGAGAAATTGTGCGTGTAAAGCCTACAGACAGGTCTGGTAGATGGTTCAAGGCTCGTGTAGAGCAGCAAGTGGATGTGAGATCATATGAAGTCAGGACCGAGGATGGAAAGATCTTCAGGAGAAATAGAAGACACCTCCGAAACAGTAAGGAGCCAGCATGCACTAGGGGCAACCCTGAGCCCATCCACATGCCGGAACAGACTCACCTGTCCGAAAGTCTCACCATCCCCAAACCTGCTGTCAGTCCTCCAAAAACCAGTGCTCCTTTTGAGGTACCACCACTTAAAGAATCTCGATAAACAACTTGTTCCAAGGAACCTGAGAGCAGCTCCCAGACAGTTAAAGTGCCGGAGCAGTCTTCACCCCCCAAACCAGTTGTACGTCCAGTTACCCGAAGTGGCCGAAAGACTCGACCACCGAGTCACCTTAAGGACTTTGTTGTTGCCAAATGACATTGCTTATCATTCCTTTTACGTTTCAAGAACTGAGGACATTGTTGCTCGATCATTTAGTTCTATTGTTTGTATTCATCCGTGCTTAGTTTCCTTTCCCTTAAACAAGAAAGGGTACGTGTGACGATATGTCGACACTATAGATAGCGTCCAAGAACAGTATGCTCACTTCAGTGACCTAATTCACATAGGGTTAGATTCTATCCTTCCCAAAAAGCGAGTTAAGTTCCACCGAAACGACGCACCATGGATTTCACCCAAACTCAAGGCACTTATAGCACACCGTCAAAGAGCATATTATCAAGACAACAAACCATTGTTCCACTACTACCGGAACAAAGTAAACAGGGAACGGAAGCTCTGCAAACGCTCTTATTACAACACTAAAGTCAGCGTTTTGACCGAAAACAATCCTAAAATGTGGTGGTCCGAATGTAGGCGGTTATGTGGAATGAACAAAACATCTACAAGTGTCGCAAATCAGCTCCTAGCAAGTAAACCAGCTACCTCAATCAACCTTAAGATCTTGGCTAATGAAATCAACACAGCTCTGCTAGAACCTCAAGCTTCGTTTGACCCACTTTTAGATAATATCGAAACTGTGAGCACTGAGGGTTTTAAAACTCCCATTATTTCACTGGAAGCTACCTTCAAATGCCTTAGTACGGTCAGCTCCTCCAAAGCTGGGGGCCCAGATAATATCCCAAACTGGGTCTTGCGTGACTTCGCTCCTGAGCTCGCTCAACCTCTTCGTTGTATCATCAATTCCTCGATTAGTCAAGGGACTTTACCGGACATTTGGAAATGTGCAAACATCACCCCTCTTCCCAAAACAAAGATAGTTGAGGATGCGGCGAAAGATTTGAGACCTATTTCACTGACACCAACGTTGTCCAAAATTGCCGAGCACTACGTCGTCCATGAACATGTGAAACCAGCACTTCTGAAACGCCTGGAACCCGATCAATTTGGGTGTATTCCAGGATCCTCCACTGCGCATGCATTGATAAACCTGATGCACAATTGGGCGCAAGCAACAGACGGAACGGGGAACACCGTGCGGATCTTTGCGTTGGACTATAGAAAAGCCTTCGATCTGATAGATCACAGCCTCTTGCTATCGAAACTCTCGACCTACAATATCAACCCTTACATCATTAATTGGATAATAGCCTTTCTTAAAGATAGGAAACAAAGGGTCAAACTTGCACATGATTGTCTCTCAGAGTGGGGATCGGTCCGAGCAGGAGTACCGCAGGGAACAAAATTGGGACCGTGGCTATTCTTGGTTATGATAAATGATTTGAAAGTACCATCAGCCAGTGATTGTATAAAATATGTAGATGACACGACAGTGTATGAAATCATAAGCAAGGGTGGTCCTAGCAATGCTCAGTCTATGATAAACGAAGTAGCTACCTGGTCAACACTTAACTCGTTTCAACTTCATCCGAAAAAATGTAATGAGCTAAGAGTTTCCTTCGTGCGCTCCCCTCCTTCCTACGATCTCATAGAAATTAATGGCTCTAAGGTTAGCGCCGTTAGTGTCGTGAAATTACTGGGTGCGTATTTTCAAGACAACCTCAAGTGGAACACTCACGTTACTGAGATGATTAAAAAGGCCGCTAAGCGCCTTTACTTTTTAACTCAGTTAAAGCGAGCTAAGGTACCATCACCAGAATTAGTGAATTTTTATGTTGCTTGCATTCAATCCGTCTTACTTTATGGATGTCAGGTCTACCATTATAGTCTCCCCGATTATTTGAGCTTAAGTTTAGAGCGTGTCCAAAAGAGAGCCTTGAAAATTATATACGGTTATGATAATCATTATAGAGAAGTGCTTCAGATGGCAGAGCTGAAAACCCTAAGGGATCGGAGGGAAGACCTTTGCTTAAAATTCTTTAACAACATCGTCTCCAATCCCTTGGATTGTTTGTACCACTTACTGCCTTTCGACAACCGAGATCAACTTATGGAGTTACGACGACGCAGACCATTTAGAGTTTCCTTTAAAACAAATCGGTTCAGAGATACTTTCATTCCAGCAAGCGCAAGACATTTTAATTGACATCTATTACAATTGTATATGGGCCCATATGTAAATTAGTTCCCTTTTAGGTTTGATTTTATTGTATAGTTCTATTATATAATTTGCACACCTTTGTAATTCAGCTTCCAGCTGCTATTAAGGTATTCTTAATAAACGTCTATCTATCTATCTATCTAAACGTCTATCTTGTCTAGATCAGCCAATCAACATTTAGTTCGACCATGTGCTCGAGTTGTTGTTGTCCGTTTTGACAATATGGCCGTGTAGCATTGCTTTGTTCCAGATTAAAGTTCCGTTGAGTTTTTTGTTTATGAAGTAAAGACACATGATTTACACAGTGGTTTTGGTGGATGGAGAGAAACATCCACCAAAACCACCATGGCAATTTCTGCTACTTCTTTTACAAAAGACTGACGTGACCTGCTATTTGGAGTACATAACCACAATCTATTTCTTTGTATGTAGAGATATTTTGCAAAGTTCTTAAGTCAGCACCTTTTATTATTGAAACCATAATCATAACATGGTGCACAGTATAGAATAAAAAGGTTCTGGTGTGGCAATCATGTAATCTTGAAACAGGAGAGTTTTTAACTGACTTAAACAGATATTTGCAACAAAATTCCAGATCCAGAAATTTCTTTCACTATTTCTGCTAAAATCATAACCTTTAAGTACTACAAATCAGCACATCAGTAATTGTTATCAGGGGTCTGAAAATCTTCCACATTTATTTCAAGTAACCTTTAATTTCACATGGATGAATAAGTATACACTCAAGATGCAGAATGTCTTACATTTTACAAATTATTTCCCTTTTTATGGATAGACAATGAAAGGCCTTTGCCTCATTGGTGAATCAAACCATTATATACCATGTATTTTGTGATAATTGACCACAATAGAGGACAGCCGTTACTAAATGTTTGTTTGTTTGTTTATTTGATTGTTTTTGCTCACAATATCCAAAGCAATGGAGGAGATAAATTTAAATAGCAAATTCTATTACCGGTAATGGTTAAAATTAAATAACATTGGAAGATCAAATTAATCTTGTACTGTTTAAAATACAGTTTTGGTTTCTTGCTTATTCCAGCCTCTTAATATTCAAAAGCATTCCATGTCATTTGGTGTTCTTTTGTGTCACATAACTTGAAAAATAAACAGAGAGAAAGGAATCACAAAGGATTAAACTTGAAGCAAAAGCAAAGTTTAAGTTGAGCCATAGCTAATCCAAATACTGAGCACTTTATATCGTAACCCATTTAGCAGTAAAGTTTATCTATATGTCTGCCAGCTTGTCACAAGTCTTACCCCTCTCCTCCAAAAGTCTCTATAAACAAATTTTTCTTTGTGGTCTCTAATTGATGATAAGTATATTACAGCTCCTCAATTTCCCTCTCAAGACAAGGTAACTCTAAATTTAACAAAGTAATGGACTTGATAAAACTCAAACTATAACTCAGCTGGCTGCTACTCGCAACCTAACATTCTTGATATCAGTATACAATAATCAATGTCTTATAAATAAAGAACCCTTATGCTTAATTTTGCAGTGATCACCTTCCTCCTTTTCATTTGCAGACCAGACTGGAACCTCGGTGTGTTCGCTTGTTTTGAGTGGGGATGGAAGAAAAGGAATCATGCCTCATATCTGATTTATTAAACTGGATTCGTTCTGTCAGTATACATGAGTGGAACCACCTTGTTCTCTGAAAAAATAAAATTTCTCGCATTTTTATCTGTGCTTTGCAGTCAAACTTCCTAGTGTCTTGAACAAGAAATCTTCCTTTCTTGAAAACAAAATCTTTGTTTCCAGCCTTCTGTAATAGGTAAATATAACAATGTAAGATGAGCAATAGTGTACTTCTCAAGTTAATTTTTTGGAATGTGACAAAATGGAAGTGTCATAGCGTGATAAGGAGCCAACATATGATTGCTTGATAGACAGCAAAAAACGCAGAATTGCATATATTTTCTCTTTTGTCCGCAGCATATATTAGTGAAAAGTTCTTATAATTGTTAACTTCTAAACCATCTTCAATTTAGCCAAGATTGAACTGTTATCATGTTTGTCATAAAAGTATTCCGAGATCAACGTCATATGACCCATTCATGAGTGTATTTGTCCTTTCGGATTAGCAAGCCATAGGTGACAGTAGTAACACAAAGGTCGCGGATAAAAAGAAAATATTATGTAGAGTACTTCTTCTGCATCTTTTCGTTTCCTTTTCTCTGCAGCCGTTCTATCTAGGCCGTGCTGGCAATTAAACACTTTCCTTCTCAAAATTAGGAAAGGCACACCAGTAAAAAACGAATTTTTGAGCCTTAAATATCTCATGCATCTTCCCAGAGTATTTTGTGCCTTCTGTCCGAGAAAGGAGGTGTAAGCATTTAACTAACCCAAACGATTCCACAATTGTGGTAGCCAAATGACATTGCTTATCGTTCCTAAGCCATGCCAGAGGACTCGAACTAGATAAACTAGTGAGAATGCACAATAGCGAGACATGACTCCTCCTTGAGAGAGTGTTCAATTTGGACATGAAAGCAAAGCGTGGTAATGCCAAAGAGCTATATCAATATATATATATATACATACATACTAGTGTTCCCGAAACCTTTGTCGTCAATCCTGTTTCAAACTCCGCAATAAGTTCATACGCCTTATCAACAGAATTAACGTATCCTAAATTATCCTCATGTCTACCATCAAGCAATGGTTCGCGCTTTAAAATTCCCGCCATGCTGTTTCTGTTTGTTCCTCAAGAATCATGGGATTTACAGCTTTAGATGT